AGGGCCCCGGGCTAGAAGGCCGCGATCCGCTTCTCACCGCGCTCTCTGCCGGAACTCCCTCCTTTTATTCTTAAGCTCAATATCATTTCTTTCAGAAAGTCTTCCTTTCCTGACCCTACCTTCCACTCCCCCACCCCCAATCTGTTTAGCTCCCTTTTATTTAGCTGCACCTTGGAAGTACCAACATCACCTCAATCCGCCAAATTGTTTACCGGTCTTCATTTGCCCCTCTCCCTGACTAGTCTATGAGTTTCTTGAAGACAAACATTGTGTCTTTTTCATCTGTACCCTCAGGGCCCAAGCCTCAGGACTCACAATATTGTCCAATAAAGGTTTGTCCAGTGGTTTGTGAATGGATACAAAGGTTTGTCAAAATGTTTGTGAATGGATACTTGAACGAAGTGGGTAACCTTAGATCAGGGGCCTCCAACCCCTGGGCTGCAGACCGGTACTGGTCCACGGCCTGTTAGGAACCGGGCCACACAGCAGGAGGTGAATGACCGGCAAGCGAGCGAAGCTTCATCTGCCGCCCCCCATTGCTCGCATTACCCCCTGAACTATCCCTGCCCCACCCCGGTCTGTGGAAAAATTGTCTTTGATGAAACCAGTCCCTGGTGCCAAAAAGGCTGGGGACCATTGCCTTCGATGATAACTTTGAAGGTAAACATTCACTTGATTGAGTCCTAGTCAAGTGTAAAAAATTACTGGATTATTTAATAAATGATGTTAGGTGGAATATTTTGTAAGTAAAGTAAAAATCAGATTCCCTACCTCATATCATAAGCATATGTACAAAATTCCAATTGGATTTAATGTTCGTATTTTTTAAAAAGATGAACTCTAAACACTATGACTACTTGTATAATTTTAGGGTGAGGAGGGCCTATTTAAACATAGCACCAAAACCAAAAACCACAAAGGAAAAGATTGATGGTGGCTCTGAGCTAATGTATCATTTTCCAAATGTATCACTTTCTGCTTAGGGTCTGGAAGACATACTTTTTTCCTTTGTGGACTTAAAAAGACTCACAATGTAAAAGTTGCTAGTAGAGTTTATTCAGTGTCTTCCTGAAGACTATAACCTGGGAGACAGCCTTTCAGATAGCTCTGAGAAACTGCTCCAAAGAGGTAAAGGGGGAGGTCAGTATACATGTGACTTTGGCAAAGGGGGTATGTGCAACGAAGCACACATCTTGGGAGAAGTTTGCTGCTAATCACGAGGAACACACATCTTAAAGGTTTTAGTGCTTTTCTAAGTATAGGCAGATGCAACAATCCAGGTTCATAAAAAATTTCTCCTGAAAATATGTAATTATCTAAAGGCCTGTTCTGCTAGTTTTTTAGCACAGAGTGCCTCATTCCTGATCTCTGCCCTGAACTCCTTTCAGTCTGTTAAAAGTCAGCAACTGCAATGGCTAATGACTCAATCCTTGTAGGACCACATGGCTAGCAACATTCTTTAGTTGGCACCTCTGAATTATTTTCCAATTTTTAAGAGTCTAAATATCTGCCTATTCAAGGAGCCACATAGGAAAAACAAGTGGTTGTAACAATACACTAAAGGTTGTCCAAAATTTTGGAAACACAGGGAAAATAGTGTCTATTATTCTTTTTTCAGATTAATGATTGAACCCATTGCTTCAAGGTATTTCACCTAAAAGTTGAAGGAAAATATATTGAGCGTATTATTTGAAAATATAACTAGTATATTGTTTGAAAATAAGTGAGTCCTATGTTTCTGACCTTTTGGATACTCCATTCAGTGTTGTCTTTAACAGTGCATAGAGTATCCAAAATTGAGCAACCTAAATGTTCAATAAGGACTTGTTAGTACATAAATTATCCATAATAAAAATTATGGTGTTGAAATGTACGTATTGACCTGAAAAGGAATTCAGGACATATTTTATAAATATTTATTTGTTTATTTATTTTTTGGCTGCATTGGGTCTTTGTTGTGGCATCCAGGGTCTTTTGTTGCGGTGCAGGGCTTCTCTCTAGTTGTGGAGCACAGGCTCAGTAGTTGCAGCACGCGGGCTTAGTTGCCTCACGGCATGTGGGATCTTAGTTCCCTGACCAGGGATCAAACTGGTGTCCCCTGCATTGCAAGCCGGATTTTTTTTTTTTAATTAATTTATTTATTTTTGGCTGTGTTGGGTCTTCATTGCTGCACGCAGGCTTCCTCTAGTTGCGGCGAGCGGGGGCTACTCTTCGTTGCGGCGCACGGGCTTCTCATTGCGGTGGCTTCTCTTTGTTGTGGAGCACGGGCTCCAGGCACGCGAGTTTCAGTAGTTGTGGCACACGGGCTCAGTAGCTGTGGCTCACGGGCTCTAGAGCACAGGCTCAGTAGTTGTGGCACACGGGCTTAGTTGCTCCGTGGCATGTGGTATCTTCCCAGACCATGACTTGAACCTGTGTCCCCTGCATTGGCAGGCGGATTCTTTACCACTGGACCACTAGGGAAGTGCCCAGGATATATTTTTAAATGAAAAGAAAATATGAGATTATAAACTGTTAGGTAAATTATTTTATTTTTATAAAATATATGCTATTTTGATAGTTATATGTATACAAAAATCTGAAAGGATATACATAAATGTGATAATAGTGACTACCCTTCTTGCCTTATCTGAGTTTCTGATGTTTCAGCAATAAGAATAGATAATTCATGAGATGGGGATAAAAAGTCAAATAGTAAAATGGCTTACTCAAAACCAAAGCAAATACTGACCAAACTTATTTAAACAATAAAGTTAGTGAAATGAAAAAGAAACTAAAGATTGCAAAACCACATAACTGTATACGATTTCAAATGATTTTCTGCCACCCTGTGGAGAATCCTGCTCATTGCAGGACATGGAACTATGAAAAATCTAACTGAAGATGAAATTGTTGTCTAGGGGCATGGCCCAAGAAGTTGTTTAAAGGTCGGTTTATTAGGGTTTTCCTGGTGGCGCAGTGGTTAAGAATCTGCTTGCCAGTGCAGGGGACACAGGTTCAAGCCCTAGGTCCAGGAAGATCCTACGTGCCACGGAGCACCTAAGCCCATGCGCCACAACTACTTAATCTGCACTCTAGAGCCCGCAAGCCCCAACTACTGAGCCCGCAAGCCCCAACTACTGAGCCCGCATGCTACAACTACTGAAGCCTGCACGCCTAGAGCCCTGCTCCGAAACAAGGGAAGCCACCACAATGAGAAGCCCGCGCACCTCAGCGAAGAGTAGCCCCCACTCGCCGCAACTAGAGAAAGCCCGTGCACAACAAAGACCCAATGCATCCAAAATTAAATAAATAAATTTATTTTAAAAAAAACCCTCTGTTTATTAGTTGATCAGTTTTGTTTGTTCACTGTGCCAGCTACTTAACAAAATTGATAGGAGGAAAATAATAATACCTAACATATATAATTACAATGCCATGCACTGTTCCAATATACATAGGACTTTATCTCTCAAAGATCCTATGAAGTAGGTATTACTTTTTCCCCATTTTATAGATGAGACACAGGGAGTTTAACCCCCTGCTAGCAGTAAATGTTGCCAAAGCAATGTGAACCCGGGAGCTGCATTCTGGGTCAATGATTTAAAATTTTGAGTTTTTCAGTTCCCTCAAACCCCACCATTCCATAATGCCTTACCCAAAGAGTTGACTGCTGGGCCTTTGCAGGGATTTAGTGTTTGGGATTTAAGAGGGATCATTACATTCTCCAAACTAATCTTAGTTCCTTGAAGCTGTAGAGCAGTGTTGCTACTCAAAATATGGCCCATTGACCTGAGCCCTTCAGAGAACTGTTACTGGTCCACGGCGAGACAGGTAGTACAGAAATTGAGAATAAGTGTTTAGGAAACTTTACGGCGATTTTGCAGGCAATTTTATGGCTGTTGACTCTAATGATGAAATGTTTCTAATTTTTTATCTTACCAAAGCATGGTCCACAACTAATTGGAAATTTGTAAAAATAATAAGTTGATCGTTCTCTACATATACTTTTGTAAGCAGATAGGGTAGTGGGTCCCCGGAGAAAAAGAACTAGATCCAGCTTTTTTGACATAAGAGAAGCCATTTTAGGCCTAAGCCATTTTGTGATCCAAGCCTGGCCACAATGCTTGCCATTGAACAGGTGTCAGTAATAAGGACCTTAAAGGAACAAAAGAACAAATGACTGTTATCTGGCCAGAGAAGAAACAATAGCAAAGATAATAAATCAGTTGTGAAGACTCCCAGCTCCGTTTCAATGGTGAAGATTAGCCGGAAGCACTCAACCACCAGATCAACTGGAACCTAAGAGATGATGATGTTGACCTTTTCTCAGCCTCAAGTGACTTCAATCAACGAAAGCTTGGACTCCGTCAAGCTTTACCCCAATTCTATGCCACAGTCTCCTCTGCTCAAGCCCCTTCATGAATGTGCATGAACCCTTAGCTTAAAACTTCCCCAAGTTCTCTGCTTGGCAGACACTGCTTTGGGAAAGATTCCCCAGCTTCCTCCTTACTTGGTGCCAGTAATAAATCCTTCCTTCTCCTGATCTTTACCTTGGTTGTCTTTTGGCTCAACTCCCTCTAAGAGGTGAACCCAATTTTCTGGTAACAATTTGAGAAGCACACTGTTATAAAGCTGTTCGCCCGGGACAATTTTACCAAACTCTAAGGATTTCTTCTGAGGTTAACTTCCCCAGTGAGACATCTGATATTTTTCCTCCTCTTTTTGCATCTATTTTTATTATATAGCGCTATCATAATGATCAGTAAAGCGAACATAAAGAATATAAAAATGGTTTCTTGAGACTCGAGGGCGGTGGTCCTGCGCCGGGCGAGGAAGCGCCTGGTACCCCCTCAAGGGCCGCAGGGGTGTGTAACAGGTCGCCTGCCGAACAGAAACGCTTGACAGCCCCGCGGGCCAAGTCGCGGGCGCCTGCGCGCAGGCATTAGCTCCTCCCTCCCTTCCTCCCACCCCACGGCTGAGGGTGTGGTCGGGAGGAGGAACCCTGAGGCTTCCCGAAGACGCCACGGCTCCGCCTCGGCTCCCTCCAGCTGCGGCGTCTGGAGAAGGTCGGGATGTTGTCACTTCCTCCGGAGCCGCTCTCTGCATCCGGGTCGGCTGCTGCCGCAGTGGCTGAGGGACTGGGCCCGGGTCTCACCGTCGGAGGGGAGCGGGATCCGCTCGGCGCCACCTTCTGCGACCTGGCCGTCAGCCCTGCGTCGCCGGCCTGGAGGGGCGAAGAAGACGAGGAGGCCAAGGGTTCCTCCGGGGTCAGTGCGACTCGGGAAGGCTGGGCACGGCGGGTCTGAGCTGGGAACAGTCCTGGGGTGGACGGGGGGGACGTCCGAGGGGCGCGTATCCCGGACCGCCCGACAAGGGAAGCCCAGAGCGGTATCCGCTGTAGGAGGCGCCGCGGAAACTGCCCGGAGGCGCTTCCCGGATCCCCGCCCCGCTTAGGCCCCCGCCCTTGGCCAGGCTTCTGATTGCTTTTTGCCACCCTTGCGTCCCCCCTTCTCCCACCCCTTTTCCGTTTGTAGGGGTGGTGCTCTCTTCTCTGCCCCTCTGCACATTCCTCGCTCTGGGGGCAGTGACTGGGCCACGTTTGGTCCCTTGTTTGTCACCAGCGTTGGTCCTGGTGCAGAACAAAGAAACTTGGACGTCTAATGTGCTCCACACTCTCCGGGAATATAGACACGGAAGCGGCATCTGTAATGAGGGCTTTAATGGACCTTGATATGTGAAGGTCCAGTTCCTGCGTGGATTCAGACACTGCCTTTTACTTCCGTACCTGGCAAAAGTGGTTTGAGTTTCTTGATGCCACTGGAGATCTACTAGAGCAACTCCTGTTAAATCAGGAATGTATTTGGGTCTGTTACGTTGCTTTGAAACCCCCTTGGTCTTCCCTGTTCTGGGCAGCTCTTTGAGAACACGGCTTTTATCATCTAGGTAGTCGTAGCGCCTTGCGTATAGTTAGTTTAATGAAGTGTGATTGTGCTTTGGTGGGGGGTTTTTTTTTCGCACTTTTAAAAAGAATCAGGCTATTTCTCCTAATGATTAATTACTTAATTTTTAAAATTAAACGTATTTTTTCTCTAAAATTATATAAGAATTTCTGCCATTTGTAAATGGGTGTTGTTTCCTCAAAATTATAACTGAAGTTACCGTGTCTAGTTACCCTACAGACTATTTTCTTATGATTTTGCATATCTTCTCCTTAGTTCTTATCATTTCACATTTTCTCCACACAATCTTTTTGATTTTCATGATCTCCTCTATTGCAGCCTAATATTGTTGGGTTTAGACAGGAAGTATGACAGGTCCACTTCTGCAAACATGGGGCTTTGAACTAGATCATCATAAGTCTGTGCTATTGTAGTCTTTAGGCATTACAGGACCTTTGAAGCTAAGTGTAGCCATATCTGGCATTGCAGGCTTATTCTGTAGAAAGTTTCCAGTGAACTGGAGATGGTGTGCTGTATTAGAAACAGTCTAGGTCTAATCTGGAAACCAGAATGTAGTGTTATTTGCCTCATGTATAAGATAAAATGGGGGTAATAACATCAGTGTTTTATACGACACAAAGTTTTTGGGTGGGACACATGAGATGATGGATGTACAAGTGGTTAGTAAAGGGGAAAGGCGCTTTGGGAAAGTAGTTCTCTTCCTTCTCCTGGTGTAATGCTCGTAGAAGGAGCAGTGGTGGAGAAAGGCATCTAAGAAAGGAAGTATACGTATGGCCTGATCTGATCATTTAACCTTGGCTGATAGTGGATCAGAAGATGCCATGTGAAGTTTGCATCCTATAAAGCAGAGTGCTAGTATAATGTGATGATAATAATGTTCCAAAGTTATAATTTTATGTTACATCCAATATTTGTAACTCCACAGCAAAGTGTTACAGATCAGTTTTTAGACTTTAATCTTCTTAAAGGTCTCAGAGCATTTCCAGTACGTTCTGCATACTGATAATATAATGTACCTTGTATAGTTGGCATAATTATCCTGTGCTTTATCGTCACAATTTTGAGAAACAGCACTATTGTAATTTCTCTTGAATTTTGTGTTAACGTTTCTGATAGGGTGTCACATTTAATTGAGATATATAATTGACATGACATTTTTTTAGTTTCAGGTGTACAACATCATGATTCGATATTTGAATATATTGCAAAATGATCACCACAATATGTCTACTTAACATCCACACTTAGTTACAAAATTTTTTTTCTTGTGATGAGGACTTTTAATATTTACTCTCTTAGCAGCTTGCACATATCTAATACAGTTTTATTAACTATAGTCACTATGCTGTACATTACATTTCCAGGACTGACTTATTTTATAGCTGGAAGTTTGTACCTTTTGACCGCCTTCATCCATTTCACCCACCTCCCACCCCACGACCTCTGGCAACCACCAGTATGTTCTCTGTATCTATGAGCTTGGTTTCGGGGGGCGGGGGGGGGTTGGGTTTTTTCTGTTTTTTTGTTTTTTGAGTTTTTTTTTTTTAAGATTCTACCCATAAGTGAGATCATATGGTGTTCGTCTTTCTCTGTCTGACTTACGTTACTTAGCATAATGCCCTCAGGGTCCATCCGTATTGTTGCAAATGGCAGAGTTTTTTTTAAATAGCTGAATAATATTCCTTTGCGTGCTTGTGTGTGTGTGTGTGTGTGTGTGTGTGTGTGTGTGTGTGTGTGTGTGTGTATATTCATCGATGGACATTTAGGTTGCTTGCATATGTTGGTTATTGTAAGTAATACTGCTGTGAATGTGAGGGTACAGATATCTTTTCCAGTTAACGTTTTCATTTTCTTCCGATAAATACCCAAAAGTGGAATTGCTGGATCATATGAGAGTTCTGTTTTTAATTTTTTGAGGAACCTTCTTACTGTTTTCCATAGTGGCTGCACCAGTTTACATTCCCATGAAGGATTCCCTTTTCTCATCCTCGCTAACGTTTGTTATTTCTGATCTTTTTGATAATAGCTGTTCTAAGGTGTGAGGCGATATGATATCTTTGTGTCATTTCATTCTTAAAAACCTGCATGACTCTGCTCTCAAGGAAACAATGACAAGCATATAGGATTTTTACAGGTGTTTTGGTGACCTTCCTAAACACATAGGCTGGGCCTAAAGTATTTTCTTGTAGTGCTACCAGCATTGCCAGCTTCATAGGAAAAAGTGAACATAAATATTTAGAATGAAGCCCTTTCCTTTAAATGGGGATGTGAAAGCCTTGCCTAAGCATTTCCTTTTGCCAGATTGATTTCAGCATACATGTTGGTTATTAGCACCTATTCCAGCATCTAGGTTAAACTACATAATAGTAAAGTTGTCATGTAAAATTCTAAGTTATAATTCAGGCAGTTCTAAATATGATCTTAATATTTAATTTTTGCTTTTATTGTTAGGCTGCATGGGGAAATCCCCGTTTCCATCTTGGTTGAATTTACCACCACACCTCACTGAGGTCAACTACTGTTTTTGAATTTGTCTCTGTGACCTCCACTGCTAACTGGCATAAGTAATGATGTACCACCACTACCACACATTTGTTGAGAAATCAGGGTATTCCTGTTGCATTTGGTTAACATTTGGCATCTTAAAGTATTACTTCCCCATTCTGATTTACCAAATCAATGAACAAAAAACGGGAAACAGCCACGATTAACTTGTGAATCAGCAAGTATCCTGATTTCCTTCAGAGTAGTTGTGCTTATATTGCTGCTGTCTTGTTTCCTGTTCTTACGGCTGCTGATAATGTGCTTCTAAGAACAGTCCTCTCTCTGTCGTTTAAACTTTATCTAGTGTACTTTTCCCCTAAAATTTGTGATGAAATGGTTAAGAGTGAATCTATATTTCTCTCTCCTCCTAGGTTTCGTTTAACTAGCTTAATTAATTATCCCCAAACTAAATATCCATGTCCATATGCTGGGGTGTATTAACATCACATGACTCAATGATATTAAAGTAAAAGTTGAATGAATCAGCTAAATGAGCTGACAGACTCTGGCTGCCTGTGTTTAGAGAAGTATTTTCACGTGGTTGACTTGTTCAAGTGGTAAAGCAGCTAAAAGACATGGTTTATCTTTTAGAATTTCACAAGGTATGTATTTTCTCTTACAAACAAGGAATAATTTTACCAACAGAAATAGACACTGCTTGTATGTAGGTTGCCCCAAATATTTTCACTACTCTTTTTGAGGGGTAAAACTTAACAGGAAGACTATTTATGTAGTTTAATTAGAAAAAAAAAAAGCTTAAGAGGTTGAGCAAAACAAATGGTTACTATTCAGTGTTAAACCTTACAATTAAATGTTTATTTTTAAATTTAGCTAATGTTTAAAGACCCATTATGTGCCGGACACTGTGCTAGATGTTGAGAGTATAGTGGTAGCAACTTCCAGTCACCGCTTATATTTTTGAAATATTAAATGTTTTTCTGAGTATGTGGGGTATTTGAAAAAAACACTCAGAACATCCTATTATTTTTCCAACACCCAGTAAAAATGTGAAACTAAATAATGAAGGCTCTGATTATTAAATCTAGGAAAAAACATTAATTCACTTCATAGTGAGTATCAAAGTTTTGAAAAAACACTGAGAAGTGTAATGAATTTAAAAGTTGAGGGACTTCCCTGGTGGCACAGTGGTTAAGGATCCGCCTGCCAGTGCAGGGGACATGGGTTCGATCCCTGGTCTGGGAAGATCCCACATGCCGCGGAGTAACCAAGCCCGTGTGCCGCAAGTACTGAGCCTGCGCTCTAGAGCCCGTGAGCCACAACTCCTGAAGCCCGTGCTCCGCAACAAGAAAAGCCACTGCAATGAGAAGCCCGCACACCTCAACAAAGAGTAGCCCCCGCTCGCTGCAACTGGAGAAAGCCCGTGCGCAGGAATGAAGACCCAACACAGCCAAAAAAGAAAAAAAGTTATAAAAGTTGGAATAGACTGTCAGTTTTCAACCTTTAGTAATAGAATGCTGCACTCTCACTTGAACATGAATTCTAGAGTAATAAGTATTAAGTATTTGGGTTTTATTGATCATAATTTGGGGGTCTTTTCTAATAATTCTGTGTTCTAAATAGAAAATTATTCGTCAAAATAGGTATCGCTTTTTTGTTTGTTTTCGTCTCTACAGAGAGTAAGAGTTGCTGTCAGAGAACAGTCTATGAAGTGGTCCTTGAAGGTGTGTCAGATTACTTTATAGGTTATGTATCAGAAACAGAGAAACTGCTAAATAAGTCAAGATGATTATATTTTAAGTGTGTTTTCCATTCATTTCTCAAAATTGCCTGGCTCAGTTTTTCCCGGAGAATTAAAAATGCCTTACTCCTATGTATAAATTAACTGACTTTTCCCAGCAAACATGTTGGTGAAGAAAAGATAGCATTTGCTTTTTTCTATTTGCAAGTGGTTCCTCAACAATTTAGACCTTTTGAGAATGTTTGAAATCTCTTGAGCATAAGTAAGAATTCAAACTGGGAAAAAAGCCTCCCAGTCTTGGCAGAGATATGAATGTAGTTTATTATGTGGAATCTAACACTTTAGAAAATTTCCAATGTAATTTTGTTGTTGTTGTTGTTCTGGAACATAATGGTTTTTTGGTACAACTTTGTGTATCTTTTGAATGTTGTAATGACACAGCAGATAAGGCAACCATAAAATATGACCACAAGTTATACATACATGGTTTTAAAAGTTAAATAATTTAGAAGGATTTACCATGAATAGCATCTTCTCCCCCTCCCACCTTATTTCTTCTTCCACTGGTGTCAACCACTTTTAACTTTGTTTTAAAACTGCTAGTGATAACTAGTAATACTTTATAACTCTTAAGACATCTATGTTTTACTTCTTTTTTAAAAGATAACTTTAGACATCTGTTGACTTACTCTAATGTAAGTGAACTAAATATTCCGTTTATACCTCTTGCCCCCTAAAGTTGTCACGATTTTTGTTGCACTGTTAACCAGTTGATCTTAATGACTTCTTAAATAATATACTTAAACCTGTATTTCTTATTCCATCAACCATACCAAACTCTAGATCCTTCATTTTGTAAACTGAGGATAGTGACACCCACATCCTTTCTTGGAAAAACTGAAACTGTTAAAACATGGAGTTGTGTGAATAGAAATATTCACCAAATACAGTGTCTGAAAACTCATGCTAAACTACATGAGAAAAGCTTGTTATAGATATGAAGCAAATCAGAACGTAGCATAATTCATTTACTGGACAGGTACTGAATAGCCTTCTTTAAGTGGCTCAGGAATTATGTCATTGGAACTGTAGAAAAGTAATATAAGACACAGCACACCACTTGGACTCTGCTGAATCAAGCGAGTGTAAATACTGTTTACCTAGTGTTCAATTTCTAGAATTAACCTCTCCCCAAAGGACAGAAAATTTAATTATGGGTGTAGAATAGAGCATATATTTATTTACTTTTATTACTTGTGCCCCCCCCATCCCACAAGTTGCTTTTATATAATTTACAGTACCTAATAAATTTTAAATCATATCCTGGGGCACACATGCATATATGCAAATGGAAGCAGGTACTTCACTGCACAATACCCTCATTACAAACACTAATTACTAGAACATATACACTCTGTTTTCTGTTCTAATTCTTGGGGGAAAAAAGTTGTAGTTGCAACCAACTAAATTTATTTCATGATCAGGGTGGAAGTATGAACTAAGGTATAAGATTATTGCATCTTTTCAGCAGATAAAGTGAAAAATAAGCCTATAAATTTTTTTTCGTCTTTTACAGGACCTTGGCTCTCTGGATTATCAGGAGCTTGTAGTTGACATTGAGTCCAGGCTGAGGATGGAAGGTGTTGAACTTAAGGAAGAATGGCAAGATGAAGATTTTCCAATGTGAGCAATGCTTTTAAATGAAAACAAGTAAACAAAACTTCACAGTTTCTTTATTGAGATGTCACTTACTACAGGGGTCCCCAACCCCCAGGCCACGGACCACTACCGGTCTGTGGCCTGTTAGGAACCCGGCCGCACAGCAGGAGGTGAGCGGAGGGCGAGTGAGTGAAGCTTCATCTGCTGCTTCAGTGCCGCTCCATCACTCGCATTCCCGCCTGAACCATCCCCCCACTGCCCCTCTGTCTGTGGAAGAATTGTCTTCCACGAAACCGGTCCCTGGTGCCAAAAAGGTTGGGGATTGCTGACTTACTAAATGAATATCAGGCTTCTTAAAGAAACCCAGTGTTGCAAAGTATTCATTTAATACTGGTAATAGAGTCTGAGGGGTTTCTAGGGGAGGATGGTCTTTAGAAGTCTATAGGAATTGTTAAGTTGTATGCTTTTATTTTAAGAAAAAGCTTGTTAAGTAAACAAGGAAGAGCTTTCTAGTTTATCTGGCGAGCTACCTTGACACATTTGCATTTGTGTTTACAATTGTATTGGCACCAGGTGGGTTAAGAGAAAAAGAGCAAAGGCAGACTTTATATTTAAGTGATGCTTCCATGCCATCTTGGTCAGAAGACCATCCCATTGCATAAGAAGGTTCCTTAGCAGTTGGAATATGGACAGCTGGTGAGAGTACTGAGTCATTGCATAGCATAGCATGATAATAGTAATAAAGAAATGCAGAGCTCAAAATATGTAATCATCATTACCATATTCCCATTGTGAGTGACAATTCAGCTTCATTATACATTGTATCATGCATCACATTAAATTCATTTGAAATATATTTGTTTTGTAGATTAATGATTTTTTAATTTGTTTTGCAGTTGTATTTAAGAGCAGTTACATAAGGAATATATATCTACTTTTATGTGTTGCTTATGTAAATATGTAAGTCAATTCAGACAGTCTGAAAATTTTCTTTGACAGGGGTTTGTAAATTACTAAACCTTAAGAAACATTGGTTTATTCAGTTTTCCATATAATTGTTTCTATAAGCTATTTTAATAGGTCTTTGAACTTCAAAAAATTTTTTTAAAAAATTTCTGGGTTAAAAATTGTGTCTGTGTGTTCTAGACCTTTACCGGAAGATGATAGTATTGAAGCAGATATATTAGCTGTAACTGGACCAGAGAGTCAGCCTGGTAAGAACTTGACACTTAGTGATAGACTTTAACTGTGCTATGTTTTGAACACATTTCTTTGTCTAGATAAAAAATATACTCAGTTTTTATTCCATCATAGGGTGCCAAAGGGTAATTTGAATGTTTAGGAAAGCGTTTTTGGATTGCTTTGGAATACTTTTCAGAAACATACCTTTGGGTTTTAGAAATTTCAACCATAAGGGGGTGAGAGGAGATCGTTTTTAATAGTAAAAGGTGACCATAAGGTCTGCTGCCGTTATTTTAAAAGGCATATCCTTGCTGGGATGTGTCATCTTGCTGTGATACAGAAGCAATAGTGATCAAAATCCAAAGTTTGTAAATAAGTGCTTTGGAATTGTGTTTAATTAATGTTATTTTCTCAAGAATAAAGTGATTAAAGTTTTTCTCTTATTCAGTTTATACATCTAAGCATTTTTTCTAAATATATCTTTCACTTTTTTTTTTTTTTTTTTTAACCCATGCCAGGCTCGCTAGAAGTTAATGGCAATAAAGTGAGAAAGAAACTAATGGCTCCTGACATTAGCCTAACCCTGGATCCTAGTGATGGCTCTGTGTGGTCAGATGATTTGGATGAAAGTGGGGAGATTGACTTAGATGACTTAGATACACCATCGGAGGACAGTAATGAATTTGAGTGGGAAGGTAAGTGTTTCATTATTTTTACCTGACTTTTATTAATGAATGTTCGTGTTTATATACATATATAGTAGCATTTTCATATTAGGATAATTGGAAAAACTTAAAACTTGATCACGGAACCAGCTAAGGGAGTTTGTTGAAAAAATCAATGGCTAAGGGATTTTGTTGAAATGTTATACTTTCTAAAGTTCATATATTTGTTGCAAAGATATGACATTCGACTAAACACTGAATATGATGGCTTTCAAAACTGTTTATAGTAGATTTACACATGTGGCTCTATTTTTTTCTTAATTGCCCAATGCTGTAAACTTGTTTTTCCATGTTGCTCCCAATATTGCTTGATAACTATGGCATGTTCTTTTATTCAGTAGATAACTAAGAAGAAAAGCTTTGAAGAAACTTATGCTTTAGGGAATGTGCTAAAAGTAGTTAAGAATTTGCAGAGAGGGAGTTCTGAAGGGAGTGTTTTTTTTTTGAGGGTGTTTTTTTTTAAAATAGGTTTGCCTGATAGTGCTGCACTTTGTAAACAACTACCTTGAATTAATGTATTCTCCTAGCCTCCACCCTTATATTCTTTATCATTAGTTATTTGGAATTGAAAGGAATTGGCATGTGTTTTGCTTTGCATGCTTTCTTTAATTAGATAATTGCTGTCTACAGTATCTTTATAGTTGTTAATAATTTATATATGTTTAGTTCATCTTTAAAGTGATTTTTATTTCAAAGCAGTGTTTATCACTAGGTATGTTATCTGCAGTAAAGAGTAAGATCCTTAATGTGCTGTTATCTTCTGTTCCTTTTTTCTTCCCTGTTTCACTGGTTCAATATGCAATCCGGTAATAAGCAATATTTTATAAAGATACTGAAATAGTTTTCTGCCTATGTGTTTTGTCTCTTCTTTCTTTAATGCTGCTGTAGTCATTTCCTGGAAGGATATTTTCCGTTAACAGCTTTGTCTTGGAAACAAACAACTAACATACAGTAGGTTTCCCCTTCCCCCATCTTTTGGTAAGGACTATGATACTAAAATTTCGAAAATCATTGCTTCATTAAAAATCAGCTAAAGTGCAATCTTAAAATGTAAATTATACCTAATCATTGGTGCTTGTGCTTTGACTAATGTCAATTTAAAATAGACTTTTGCATGTACACTTCAGAATATTATCAGTAATTTTCTGCTTTATAAAACTGATCAAATGAGAAATAATCATTGACTCGTTAACCACTTTCTATCTGGTATTATAATGTTTGGGGAATAATATATGTGCTCAACAACAAAAAACATTGGCTCCCAGAGAGTTGCTTTAAGTAACCTGTAGTGGTAACTGTCTGTCAAGGACAGTGTTGTAAATAGAATCTGGAAAGGCATTGTAGGGCCAGTGTACTAAGATTTTGATGGCTGTATGAATTATCATTTCTGAATTTGTGGATGTACGTTGTACTGCGATTAGGTCCTTTCTGAATTAAGCAATTCAAAAAAAGTTAAAGAACCACGATTTCCAAAAACAAAATGGCCTTATATTAAGAATAAGCCTTTTCCTCTATTATGGAAGAAATATTTAAAATTCCACACACAGGGAACTCTGCTCAGTATTACGTAACAACCTAAATGGGAAAAGAATCACTTTGCTGTACACCTGAAACTATCACAGCATTGTTAATAAACTGTACTCCAATGTAAATTAAAAAGTTAAAAAATAAATAAAATTCCACAGAAGGTATAATAAAAAAATTCTCTGAACAATCTAATTAGATAGTAAAGTGGTTAACATGTTATTTGATTGTTCAATCTGTGATTCAAAAACCTTTTATTTTGACAGATGATCTTCCGAAACCCAAGACTACTGAAGTTATTAGGAAAGGCTCAAGTACTGAATATACAGCAGCAGAGGAAAAAGAAGATGGACGACGCTGGCGTATGTTCAGAATTGGAGAACAGGACCACAGGGTTGATATGAAAGCAATTGAACCCTATAAAAAAGTTATTAGCCATGGAGGTAACGGTTACCAAAGATTTTTTTTTTTTTTTTTTTTTCCCGCGGCCTCTCCCGCCGCGGAGCACAGGCTCCGGACGCGCAGGCCCAGCTGCCACGGCTCACGGGCCCAGCCGCTCCGCGGCATGTGGGATCCTCCCGGACCGGGGCATGAACCCGTGTCCCCCGCATTGGCAGGCGGACTCTCAACCACTGCGCCACCAGGGAAGCCCCAGATTTTTTAGATTTTTTAATACAGTATCAGAAATCTGAATGCTTAAGAGAATCTCTCCTTTGAGGTATTACATAATTTTGAAAGCATAATAAACATAATGTCCTTTTAGAAATGTAACAGGTTTGAAGTAAAAGGCTAAAGCCAACATTTAAAAATTGTTAACACGTGCATACAGTAAGTTCAAAAGGTGTAAGAGTGTACAGTGAAAACTGTCTCCTTCCACCCTTATCCCTAGACACCCCTAAACTGGGACTTTCTCCCTTTTTTACCCATTTATAATTTATATACAGTGAGCTACTCTAATCCTTTTTTTGTAGCATTTGCATATTCCTTTTTTTTCCACCTTCATTGAGATAAAACTGACATAGTGTATAAGTTTAAGGTGTAAAATATGTTGATTTGATATGTTATATATATATATATTTTTTTTAATTTTAATATTTATTTAGTTATTTGGCTGCCTCGGGTCTTACTTGCAGCACATGGGATCTTTTGTTGCAGCACGTGGGCTCTTTCGTTGCAATGTGGGCTTCTCTTTAGTTGTGGCCCTTGTGCTCAGTTGTGGCATGTGGGCTTTAGAGGGCTCAGGCTTAGTTGCCCCACAGCATGTGGGATCTTAATTCCCCAACCAGGGATCGAAAATGCGTCCCCTGCATTGGAAGGTGGATTCTTTTTCTTTCTTTCTTTCTTTCCTTTTTCTTTTTTTTAAAAAAAGTTTTATTTGTTATTTATTTTTGGCTGCATTGGGTCTTAGTTGTGGCATGCGGGATCATTCGTTGCAGTGCGTGGGCTTCTCTCTAGCAGTGGCGTGCAGGTTTTCTCTTCTCTAGTTGTGGTGAGCAGGCTCCAGGGCGCCTGGGCTCTGTAGTTTGCGGCACGCAGACTCTCTAGTTGAGGCACGCGGATTGCCCCACAGCATGTGGGATCCTAGTTCACTGACCAGGGATCAAACCCGAGTCCCCTGAATTGTAAGGTGGATTCTTTACCACTGGACCACCGGGGAAGTCCCTGGAAGGCAGATTCTTAACCAGTGGACCATCAGGAAAGTCCCTGATACATTATATACTAGGAGTGATTGCTACCATCGCATTTGCTAACACCTGTATCACATCACATAATCACCATTTCTTTTTTGTGGTGGGAACATTTAAGGTCTAGTCTACTCTTATCAACTTTCAAGTACATAATACAGTATTGTTAACTATAGTCACTATGTGGTACATTAATCCCCAGAAATTATTCATCTTCTAACTCGAAGTTTTTACTTTGATCAACATCTCCCCTTTACCCCCAGCCCCTGGTAACCACCATTTTAGTCTCGGTTTCTGTGAGTTCAGCTCTTTTAGATTTCAGATACAAGTGACATACAGTATTTGTCATTCTTCTGTCTGACTTATTTCACAAGAAATGCTCTAATCTTAAGTGTACAGTTCACTGAATTTTGATGAATGCCCATATAACTATATACACTTAAAATCTACACCCCCAGACAGACAGAACATTTTCATTGCCCCAGAAAATTCTCTGGTTCCCCCTCTCAATGAGTACCCTCTCTCCAATAACCACTATTCTAATGCCTACCCCATGATTAGTTTTGCTTGTTAAAGAATTTCATGTAACTAGAATCATAGTTTACACTCTGTCTACTTTCACTCAGCATAATGATTTTGACATTTATCCATGTTGTTGCATGTATCCATAGTTCATTTCTTGTTACTGCCGGTTTGCTTATCCATCACTATTTTGATGGCCTTGTGAGTTATTTTCCAGTTTGAGCTATTATTATTAAAACTGCTGTGAACACTTTTTTTTTTGTCTTTGCCATTCATTTGTTTTTGGCGGGGCGGGGGGAGCTGTGTTGGGCTGCACACAGGTTTCTTTCTTTGCTGCGCGCAGGCTTTGTCTAGTTGCAGCGAGTGGGGGCTACTCTTCGTTACAGTGCACAGGCTTTTCGCTGTGGTGGGCTCTCTTGTTGTGGAGCACGGGCTCTAGGCACGGGGGCTTCAGTAGTTGCGGCTCGCAGGCTCTAGAGCGCAGGCTCAGTAGTTGTGGCGCACGGGCTTAGTTGCTCCGCAGCATGTGCGGTCTTCCAGGACCAGGGATAAAACCCGTGTCCCCTGCATTGGCAGACGGATTCTTAACCACTGCGCCACCAGGGAAGTCCCCTGTGAACGTTCTTATACTCTTTTGCGCTTATAAATACAACCTGGCCCTTTAAAATATGAATCTTAATTTGCCTTAAAACCCTGAACAAATCATTTAGCTTTACCACAAAGTAGACCGTTCATTCCACATTTTTTTTGGAACACCCACTTTGCATATTTATGGAATATATAAAAATAAGGCTTTGTTCCTTAAGAAATTTACAAGTCAAATAGGAAAAGCTATGAAGTGCAGTTATAACATCTATTAGTCTGACGGTCTTGTATGTAGAAATTTACATAGTCACTGTGTAAATAGCACCAGAATGTTAGTGGTAGTCAAAATACAACTCTATAGAGCATGTCATACTACCTGAAATCGTCCTAATTCAGGACAGGGGGCCACATAGGTCAAGCAGATTGGTTTTTTCACATAGTCATTTTTGCTTAATTTACTCTCTGCCAAATGCATTCTGCTTATTTTTGTAGTCTTCATTCATCTGAAAGCAAATTTCTTGAATATTTGCAGTTACGTTATTCTGCCTAATTTAGTCTCACTCAGTGAAGAAAACAGGATAATATGGATCACGAAGTCCAGACATGTATTAATTCATCTAGTTCATTGGAAGCAAGTTGTGAGACCTGCCTCATAGTTTAAACCTAATATTTTTGAGAAATAGCACTTTATTTTTTTAGGAGAACTTAATTAGGGCCATTTTATCCTATTGAGTTACCGCAAGGTGCTTTGTGACTAAGGGATTAAGAAAGGTAGTGAATATTCTAATGTACTTGAAATGTTCCTTTTTAGTGCATGTTTGTAAACAATAGGAATGAAAGTTAAAGCAGAAGTATTTGTTGCTGGTTACAGCTTAATATCTATATGAGAATTAAAACATTTATATTTCAGAGATTGTAATTAAAACATATATTTTAGTGCTGTCTCTCTTCACTTAGACTTAGGTCAGACATAATCTTTTCTTACTTTTTAATACCCTAAAAGCTACAAAATGCTAGGCATCATTGAATGTAAAATTATTTTTTAAAGAGCAACTACTTTAAGCAGAAGTTGCATAAGAATGTTTTATTGCAGATGTTGTATCTGGTTGGATTATTATCTATCTACTTGCTAAAATAAGGCAGCCTTCTGAGTATGCTAATTTAAGTGGGTTTCTGGTTTTTATGCCCACTCTTTCATCTTTAAATTTTATTGTTCTCTTTTTGAGAAGAGAGGATTTAAAGATCTCTGTAAGACTATACAGGGTCAGAACAAAAAAAAAAAAAACCATACTTTTTGATTCAGAAATGTGTGGAACATGCACCACTATAATTTATCAACCATAAATGATATCCCCTGAAACATCTTCAGAGTATAATCATGCTGGTTTCTTTTTCAGGATATTATGGGGATGGATTAAATGCCATTGTTGTGTTTGCTGTCTGTTTCATGCCTGAAAGTGGTCAACCTAACTATAGATACCTGATGGACAATCTCTTTAAGTAAGTAGATCATCACAAAAATGTTTGGACAGAATTGGGTACGTTAGATCTCCAGTTTAAGGAAGAGAACTTTATTTAGCTGGGTAGAAATTATTGGGTTGGCCAAAACATTCATTCGGGTTTTTCCATAAGATGTTACAGAAAAACCTGAGGGAACTTTGTGGCCAACCCAATATAAATAATCCTAGTTCTGATTCCTTACGTCTATCCCTTGGCATTATAAAAACTATCCATTTTCCAACTCAACAGAAGAATTGTCATTTTAAAACTGGAAGAGATATTACAGATTATGTGTTCCAAATTCATTTTACACTTGAGGACACATTAAGTGCTTTATTGGGGAAAATTTCAAACATATACAAAGGCAGAGAGAAGTAATATTAAATCTTTGTGTAACAATCACCCGGTTCCACAATTATCAGTTTATACTTTATTCCCACGAATACCTCCCCATGGCATAATTTTGAAGCAAATCCCAGACATCATATCATTTATAAACATTTTAAGATGTATTTCTAAAAGAAAAGAACTTTTTTTCTTTAAATAACCATAATACCAACTAATGCTGTTTTAAATTTTTGCTCTCACTGAAGGGGAGGGAAGGGAATTGCGGTATTTGGATAACCTGGTTTGGTTCTGCATAGCAATGTTTCTAAGACTTTATTTTTACAGGTACGTTATTGGCACTTTGGAGCTGTTAGTAGCAGAAAACTACATGATCGTTTATTTAAATGGTGCAACAACTCGAAGAAAAATGCCCAGTCTGGGATGGCTCAGGAAATGCTATCAACAAATTGATAGAAGGTATTGTAAATGCAAGTGGAAAGCTAGTCTGAATAATGTTTATTATGTCCTTATTAGATTAAATTTTATTTTCTGTTGCCACTTAAAGTCACCATGTATTTCTTCAGAAATTACATTTATTAATTTCATAACAAGTTTCTATTTTCAAACTTATAAAATAGCTCTTCATTTCTCCTTTGTACCACATCAAACATTTTCCTATAATTTACATTTTGGGAAAGGGTGGAGAATTTAGTACATTTCCTATTTTATTACATTCTGGATTTTGCCTCATTTATAGTGCTTAGTATATTTTGTTACTTAAGGTGCTTATTTAGCTGTAATCTTTCTTTGGAATGAGTTCTAGAAATGTATTCTCCTGGGAGTTAGTCATCCATGCTAATGAAAGGAATTTGATCCTCTCTTTGGTTTGCTTTGACCACAGCTAACTCAAACTAGGTTTAATCAACTCAGGTCCAGTAACAGGTTTCTCTTCATACCTGAACATGACAGTGGCTGGTTCTTGTGATTTTTTTTTTTTTAATACTTAGTCATCACTGTAAGTGTGAAATATGATGATAAAAACAGCAGTTTTTATTTCATCATTTTAAGTTGTCTAGGATAATGCTTTTTTTAAATTAATTAACTAATTTATTTTTTATTTTTGCGGTACGCGGGCCTCTCACTGTTGCGGCCTCTCCCGTTGCGGAGCACAGGCTCCGGACGCGCGGGCTCAGCGGCCATGGCTCACGGGCCCAGGCGCTCTGCGGCATGTGGGATCTTCCCGGACCGGGGCACGAACCCGCGTCCCCTGCATCGGCAGGCGGACTCTCAACCACTGCGCCACCTGGGAAGCCCTAGGATAATGCTTTTAACTTCTAATCAAAATTTTAGACTCCATAAGAATACATTAGATCTGATTCATGTTGCCTGTTCCTGTGGTAATCTCTCCTCTCACCTTTCTGCCTGCCCAGTGCCTTTCATGGTGTTGAAGAAATTAATAACAGTTTCCCCTCCATCCTGAAAAATGAGAAGAGCTTACTTGTATATTCAGTATTGGCTTCTACCCCTGGTTGACAGTCTTGAAGACAAGTGAATGTACATTAGGAGACATTTAATAACAGGCTACACTGTGAACATAAATTTAGGCAAATGAAGTAGTTCATTTCGTGGCAGTGGGAAGGACCATTGGAATTCAGGAGTGCATTTTCTTTTGTTTGTTATCTTTTGTTGTCTTTAGGAATATCATATCCAAATGACAGCTCTTGAATGAGGATTTTTTCAATTTTTTGTATAGACTTGCACATACTTACTGATGTCTTAGGTTTTCCTCTAGCATTGGAATTTGTAGAACCTAAAAATTTTTCTTTTTGTTTTAAACTCCAGGTTACGGAAAAACCTAAAGTCTCTCATCATTGTACATCCCTCTTGGTTTATCAGAACACTTCTGGCTGTTACAAGACCATTTATTAGGTAATTTTCTGAGAACCATTGACTCTTAAAGAAACCCCCACAGACTCCTTGTATGAATTTCTTGTCAGTTCTGTTGGTCAGAAATATTAAGGTAATTATCTTTATTTCTTTCCATAGCTCAAAATTCAGCCAAAAAATTAGATACGTCTTTAATTTGGCAGAACTAGCGGAACTTGTCCCCATGGAATATGTTGGAATACCAGAATGCATAAAACAGTATGTTTTGTTTCATTTCTTTAATTGTATTGGATCTTTATATTTTGATGTGCAAGAGGTAAATATTTCAGTACCCATTCTTTCTCCCTTCATATATTATAATTATTTTATAACTGCTCTTGTTTTTATAACAAAGAAAAGGGGGAAGAGGACACTTTCCAACACTTTCCCCATAAGTCACCATTTTCTTCAGGCTATCAGTTGAGTAGGAGGAATTGTTTCTGGTTTGGTTCATTTATATTTTTAAAGATAGTTACAGTCTTAAGAGGTGGTCTCTTGATTGGTTAGTACTAAGGAACATTCTCCAGACTTGAACATGCTGGTCTCCAAATTTGAGTAAGCTTGTCATGGCATCAAATAATATTATTAGGGAAGTAAAATATTTATATCTGTCTAACCTTAATACTTTCCAGTGGCTGGAGTTTGTTCTGTTTACCAAATTCACTTATCTAACTTCTAAAAGGAATTGGTAGAAGACTGTTAACATAACTACTTGAGTATCACAGTGCTATAACATAGAAAAATGTTTCTTTGTTCTATTAATGTGAGGTTTTAGTCTGTTGAATGTGTCAAAACCACATTTCTTAAGTCAGTTCTGACTTCCTGTATAGTATGTTAAATATTTTTGGGTTTGCCTGCAAACTTTTGAGTTTATTTTTAGTGCCTTTTTTTTGAGTTTTTGTTCATCTTCATAACATGTATGTTTACTAAAATAACTCTTCCCTACCAAGGTATGAAGAAGAAAAGTTTAAAAAGAAACAGAAAAGGTATATGCACACCTTGACTGGGTTGCATCTAGACTAGTCCATTTGCATTGCACAGACTAACTCTTCCTTATTGGTTGGTTAGCTCGTAGACAAAGATAATAGCATTTGTAAATATAAATATACCCCAGGATTCAAATGTAGAGTGAATCCAAAGTTCCTGATGCTGAGTATGGCTTGGATTCACTCTGTTTTAACACCATAATAATGCCAGTTACAAAATAGAGACCACACCTCCTCTTCCCTGCTTTTGGTATAAATACTGACAGTAAATTCCTAAGAATACTATTTGGAAAACCAATTATTTATAATACCTTACCAGTTTCACCATACTTTAAATCTCTAACTTGTGCTTTTGAAATATTTGTGCACTTTTTTAATGTATCAGGTTTCCCCCCTGGGGTAGATGATTATATTTGCAATGCACATGTTCTTTGGCTAACCAACATTGATTTTCTCGTATGCTTAAATGGCCTGCTAACTAGTCAAATTCTACATGTGATAAAATACCTAAAAGTTCAATGTACCATTTAATAGTTAAACACTCTGCTTTCCATCTTTAATTTAATTTTGAATACTTCTGCTTTGAGCATAACAGACTGTCATCTGTTAATATCTTGGCATAGAAGATGAAAGGCAAGTGTATAAAATAGTTACCATTTTATATAGTAATTTAGAAAATTATAGGATTTAGATCTAACTTGTTAATGGATTTTTAAAATATTAACAACTAAATTAGCAAAACAGATTGATACAGTCTCATAAGAGTTAAGGTGAGAGATTTGTATGTAGTTATCATTTGGACCATTCTAAGGAACTGGAGCTGGAATATTCTTAAATTTGAACACATTTTGGCTCTGTTGATGAGCAAGAATTCAGTTGACCATGTGATAGAGTCATAGCTTTACATTTCTATGTGACACTTTACAGCTAAACATTTTTAGATAGAGATAAGGACAGTGATTTAAAATCTTGCTAATTTCTCATTTCTCTCAAGACATTGGTGTGAATTTGCCAGACAAGAGGCTGAAGTTTAAAATGTAGTCTGTAATTGTAGAATATTTTGAAGCCAGCTGCTTCATGGATTTCAAAATGAATTGCCTTTGTTGATGAAATCTGCTATGTTGTGCCTTTTTACAAAATTCTTAGTTAAGTAACTTAGGCATCAGAAAAAAAGTAGAATTGTACTTTTTATTTAAATGTATTGTTTGAAACCTACCAGTATTATTTTATCTTGATTTTTTTTTTTTTTTACTTTTGTTTCATTTAATCTTAAATAGAATCATTACATATATCTTTTAGGCACTTCTAAGTTTTTGTACAGAGTTTCTTTAGCCTTGAAAAATAATAAATCCTTGTCAGCTCGAAAAGGGTTAACGCTCAAGTTTTAAAACTAGAAGGGCATGTTTTTAAAACCAAGTTAACAGAAACTGCATGGGGGAGCTTATTACCCAAGGTGAAATTTCTGTGAGTACTGGTGATAAGGATTCAAAACTGAGTGTGCTGAAATATAGCAGTTTTAAATGTTTTAGATGTTTGTTTCAAATGACTCAGTGCAAGTGTAGCCAGGGAGATGTTGATTGTTAAAATATTTGAACAGAGTTTAAAAATAAAGTGATTATGAAATTAGTTCATACCGATATTTCACATGTTGAAAAGATTGATGTGTTTTGCATGCCTTATCAAGAATATGTACCTTTCAAATTTTTGTTACCAGTATAAAAATTATTTTAAAATGTTGTCAATCTGGCTTTACCACAGGCCAAGGCTTTTAGGTCCGATTCACTAACGTTCAGGTGATGGTAGTAATGGAAACAAGTGTGAAAAGTATCTTCGTATATCACATACCAAGTTGTTTCAAACTCTCCTCCATCAGTGATTCGAACTACTACAAATGTAGATACACAAACATAATAGTAAGAGATTGTTGTACCTTATCTGTAAAGGGTTGTCTATAATTTTTGTGTGGTAATTACATAATTCTTCTAATCCCCACTTGCCTAAATTTTGATGTGATCTCTATGCATCCCACTCCTGATCCAGTCATATTTTTAATCTACATCTAGATACTTCTGATTATTAAATTCTGTGGCTTCTTACTATCAAGATAAATCAAAAGTATTCACATTCTAAGTGTACCAATAAATTCTGGAGAACAATTATGGCATCCATAAATTTGTACTTTTACCACTGAACTTAAAAGTTGATCAGTTGATGGCATTATTGGCATTTAAATATTTCAAACAACATCATTTTTGAGGGAATTATTTTTCCTGCCACTCAGATCACTTAGCTCCTTGCCTCAGCCATGCTACAGTTCAACATTTTAATATGCCTGTTGTAATTTGAACTTTTAATAAAGTTTATATGCATTTGTATATAAAGTATCCTACAATCTTTAAAAAAAAAAAAAACAATAGTCACATTCTTGCCAGTGTCCTCTTGCCTTTAAAAATTATCTCTCCTGGTTGGGAAAATGTTTGGTAACCTTTTTACTATGTCTGCTTCTTTGCAAAGCTTTGTTTATAACAGAATAATAATCTGTGGTAAAACTAGCCATTATTTTTAGAAAGAGAATTGTTCATTTGCTGATATCTTATTATCTGTATTGTTTTTCATTAAATAGAGTTGATCAAGAGCTTAATGGAAAACAAGATGAACCGAAAAGTGAACAGTAAGTTTGGCATCTGGTCCAAACACTGAAGAATATGCTGATGAAGCAGTGCTTTTTTGCATTTATAATGCATTTATTGGTCCTGATTTTTATGTAACCTGTTACAAAACTGACTTGACTTTTTCTTGATGGACTTGTGTATAAGGGACTGTTCACTGCTGTACTGGTTTGCAGATCTCTTGAATTTAGCTCTTTACTAGCTAATTATATTGTAATCATTTTATATTTTATATTGCTAAATAGCAGAGAACCACACTTTATATAAAGCAGTTTTTGCATTTGTTTATTAAATGATGCATTTTCTTCAGTAAAATATTTATATGCCTAAATGGAAAAGGAAAGAGATAATATATATTTTTATGTTTTTGAGCAATATTTTTTAATGTATACCTTTCTTATGGAAGAATATGCAGGTAAATAAGACCATGATTTTGTAAAATGCATGTTAAAATATTTGTTTTTGTAAATGGTTAAATACACTTCCTGGGTCACTTAGAAAATATGCTCATAAGGTGAGGGACAGTTAAACTGGTTCTCATGAATACCCAAAGGTCATATACATAATCTAAGTAGATTAGTACCATTCTGAGTTTTTTTCTCACTTAACATTTATTTCTTAATTCAGACACAAATACAAGTGTATTGCACACTTTTTTTTTAAAAACATAAAGACAAGTCAAAAAGCCATTTTTAGAATTAGAGAATTTAAGAGGTTAAGAATTGGGGCTTGTATATATGTATATATCAGACATTTTATCTTCTGGCCAAAAGTCAGAACTTCATAAAAATTTTAGGTTTGTTCACTAATGTGAAATAAGCTGTGTGTCCAGGGTATCACTCTCCTGAATTTGTGTGAGTGCAGTGTAATTTTCAGAGAATGTGATGAGTTATTCACTGTCACTACTTTTCTTTAGAAAATAGGGGCTGCTTTTTTAACTACTTTCAATGTGGGCACTTTACCAAAATGCTTTCATATCAGGTGTTTGACCCAGTCAGATAAGGTGTGTTTTCCCATTTTCTGTTGAATTATGTTGACAGTACTGTAAATTAAGTTATTTTGTAAGTCTTAGAGCGTCATCATATTATGGTGTTTTGCGTTTGGTGTAAGCATATAAACTCCTTGTTTAATTTGGTAAGTACCTTGACTCTACATTGAAATTGTATTTATGCCCCAGATAGAACTTAATTACCCACAAAATCATTCAAAAACAACAGGTTGGTCTAATACTGTGTCATATACTTGTGTGACTTATACATTTGGTAAACTTAGTACCTGCCTGATTTAAGGGTCACACCACACTCCAGCCCTTCTTATAAGGTAATTTACAAAAGAGTAGTAAAATTGAAGTGCAGGAGCTAAACCTCTAGGATTTATTCTATCCTAGACTGGCTTTTATCATTGCTGTTTTTAGTGTAAAGTTTTCTATTACAAAAGAGAATTTCCTTTACTTTTTTTCCTCCTCAGTCATAAACTTGACACAGTAACCCAAGTCCAATTATGGCAGATGCTGGAGGATACCCAGGATGAGACTTTCCTTAGCAGCCTCCTGACTTCACTTGGATCCAGCTGCAGTAGGCAGATCCTGAACTAATGTCATCATAGTCAATAAAGCTAAAACCATTATTGCTTGCTCAGATCTTAGAAATACTTTGTGTTCAAAAAGCAAACTAACAGTAACAGTTTAGGCATTCCTTCTGAATTTACGAATAAAAGATCATATTGAATTTAATTGTGATTAGAGTCTGTATTTGTAGAGTGCTTTAAGTGACCTTTCATCAGTAAAAGTAGTCTTTCATCTATAATTTGTGTCTCGGTCAAACCTGGCTGAGCTTTTTAAATAGGTGGCTTTCCTCCACATTAAGTACCCAGTTCTTCAGTTTCAACACGTTACTGTTTATTGACTTTTGCATTTGCAAGCATTGTCCCTGATTACAGATACAACTCGTTGCGAAAGCGATGCATTTTCCTACATATTTTTTTAAAGTAGAGGTAGCCTGTATTCTATCAGAACATTAAAATTTAGAGGGAACAGTGATAACATTTGGGATATAACCAAAGGGATGTGCTGTGAATCACTAGATTTAAAAGAATACCTGTTCTAACCTATACCTCGACGAAATCTGGTATAGGGACTTGCCCCGTAATGTTTCATAGCTGTGAGACTTAAGATCATAACAAGTAGGTCAGAGGAAAAGCATTTATTAAACTGGTTGTTTGTAATTACTAGCTATGTGACATTTTCCCCATATCATTCAGTTTTAATTTTCCATTACTGATTGAGGTGAAAGTACATATAATTGTGTTATTTTGTCTTTCTGCTGGGATCATGGTTCTAACTTGTTTAATTTGATGCTTATGCCACTATTTTTTGTTGTGTTTAGGTTCTGAGTGCCTCTTTTTAGTCAAAAGTTTCTCTTATAAAGTAATCTGATTGTGTTCTCCTTGGTCATATTCCTTATTAGCACCAAGGGAAGATACTATATTGATCCCACAGTTTAAGCTTAATAGTCTTTAACTGGGGGTGGGGGGAGTATAAAGAAATGATTCCAAGTGGGGCCTAGCAGGACCTGGAAAGGAAGATAACAAAACAAGGAAGTAAGAGAAAGAAAACTATAAAGGGATAATGAGTTAGCTAAGATTCCACTGAATGTGTCCTTGTTAAGGGAAGTGCTGTATATGGCAGCGGTTGGTACCATTTCTTGTATCAATCAGGAAAACCTGCAGGCTACATACAGAATATGTGAATAAGACTGTGGAGTGAAGGGGGCAAAGGCTGGTAATACTTACAATGAAAATTCATATTTTCCTCTGCTTTGTCTCTTCATACAAAAGGAAGTTTAAACAGGAAGGGTCAGCAATTAACAATGCTCAGGTTAAAGTGTAGGATTACGTTACTTTTGACATTCATAGCTGGTAAACCTTTAATGTATTGTTCCAAAATGGACATCACTCTTCAGTAACTATACTGAATACTGAAATTTGCTGATTGACAGGTATATATAGGTTGCTAGACTTTCTTCAACTGCAATTCCAGAATTTAAAAAGGTAAGGAATCTGCTTTTTTGATAGTCTTCTTTTAAATGACTGTGTTACTCTGGCTGTTTTTACGTGATTGCTCAGGGAATTTGAAAGTGTTTGAATTAAAGGAGAAGGGGCTTTTTAGATTTCTTCAATTGATAGTTAAAAATTAGCATTAGGATATGTCCAGTTTCCTAATGAGATTGGTAAAGTTGTATATAAGGTGACAGTAGCTTCATCCTTTTCCCCATGTGATATGTGGAAAATTGCTAACATTGCTCCTACAGGAGGAGGAGGAAATAGACTGAAAATAGGTAGATATGGCTACCACATTCTGTTTTGTTTTCATGCCTATTTTTTCTCATCCTGTATAGCTATTTGAGAAGTGGATCACAAATGTCAGAAGGGTGGGATAGCTAGAGGAATTAATGTACTTAAAAGTTAGACCAACTATTCTGTTAGAGTTTATCTTGTAGGAACAGGGATTGTGTAATTTGAATTGCTGGGAGAAAGAGTTAAGGACTTAGACTTGCATGAGAAGGTCAGCTGGTAAGAGAAGTGGGAGATTCTCAATATCCTAATAGTAAGGAAGAATTACCTGGAGAGTCTTTCATCCCCCTCTTCCCATCCCAAGATTCTGAATGAATTAGAATCATATCAGTGGTGAGTCCCAGTAATGTAATCCTTTAAAATTCTCAACGGTAATTGAAAATAATGTGTGGACCAGCAAGGAGTGACACTAAAATGTGAACAGAACTGTTACTTTGTTGCAGCTATATATGATAGATCTACTTAATTTCTTATGTTTTGAGAACTACTTTTATGAAAAGTTTACATGAAGCACTTAATATAACACATCAAACACCAGAAGAAAATCAAAGTTTAATGCTTTCATGTTACTAAAGAATTATTATAATATCTAATTCTGTTTTATACGACATTCTACAAGAGGTTAAAACATTTGCATTTTGAAATTTTTATGCGTTTTCACATTCAGTGTAGCTAAGGAGGAACTGGGAAAATAATGTTAATTAGCTACTCTACTGCACTATTTGTATTTGAATTTTCTGAAGTTATGCCCCTTAAACAGTTTATTTACATAAACTAGCTAGTAAGTATTTGTGGTGTTCAGGGCACTGACTTGCACAGCCCTTGGGGCACATGGAACACAATTCAGAGTTCGTTAGACACTAATGCACTTTGGTATATATTTCAAAGATTAATACATTTTTCTTACCATAAATTCACATGCTGTCATTTAGACACAGTTAATGTACTGTGATCATTTTACCACTGTTCAGATAATGTTGCATAGCCTAGTGCTCTCCTTTTACAGTGAGAGAAATTCAGTTCTGAAGACTGTGTGTGCAAGATGTTGATGTGGTCCCTGTAAGAAATACTAAGGTTGGTCTTGATTTACTAAGAAGATGTAATATTTTCTTTTTCTCTGACTCGTTAGGAATACAATAACTTGTGTCCTGATTTGTTGCACATGGTATTTTTGCAACGTTAATGAATTTAAATAAATTAACTGGAAAGTTTTGGTTTTGACTCATTTGTCACATTTTTCTGTCTCCCATTTCACTAAATTTTTACAAAGTTTATCTTGTAAGCTTTTCAAATAGTTTTAAACCTTTTGTTTCTGTAGTTTGGGTGCTGCTTCCTATTCAAGGGGGTGAAGAGTTCATCCTGCTTCAATTTTAAGCATTATCTTAACTATAAGCACACTTTGTATTTCATAGTTTAGAATTATTTTAGTTATGGGGAATCCACCAATGAAATCAGTTCAATAAGTGGCTGAAAACATGGCATAAAAAATAACCTGTTTACTCTGTGGACCTGCGCAGAGGTTCACGTTGGTTGCAGTTGTTTTGCATTTACTCCTTAATCACTGTTCAACTGCTTAACGAACGGCAAACAGCTGTGCACATTACTGCTGCCTTTAATCCAGTCAGGATACCGTTTGGGATTACGTAAACGCAAATACAAACTGAAGTATTTGTCTTGCATTAAGCATAAATTTTAAATACAGATTCTCCCGAATTGAAATTCTGTGATTCACAAACTAAACGCTTGCAGAGTTAAATGAATTGCCGCCCTGTTTCGTTAAGAAATACTTGGCTATCAACTTTTCAGAATTTGTCTTCAATTCTGTATTACTGGGTCTTCAACAGTATTACGCTGAACACACTTGCGGCGTAAAATGTGACTGCCTTACATTTTCTAATTGTGCGTCTAACAGTAGAGAAGAGTCTGTAAAATTGTAATTCTCTTATTAACGATTTAGCGAACCTGGTGAATTACTTGGGAGCTAAGCCTCTTTAGCGGTCTGAGGCTTGAAAGCTGCGGCCCCACGCTCCTCTCTCCCCATCCCTCCCCTCTCGCAGGACTTGAGTGGCTGGCGGGATCAGGAATGGGCGGGGCTCGCGGGCCTACGTCATTTCCAGCTTCTGCGAGTGCTTCCGGGCCGTCGACCTAGCGCCGCTTTCTCTGCGGCGGAACGAGAGGTACTCTGGCGAAGTAGGTAGCTCTTGCTGGGTTCCTGGCTGAACCACTTCTGTTGCCTCCGAGGCGGGAAGCGCCTTTTCCACAGGTACTGGGTGAGCCGGCCCGCGCTCCTTGCCACCATTCAGAGCAGGCATTGCGTCCGTTGGGTCTTATGCGAGGGCCTTTTCGGCCTGGGTTCGGCCAGTTACCGACTTCGCTGCCGGGATGGCCTCGCGGCGCTTCCCGGGGTGGGAAGGGAAGGAAAGGGAGACGGCCGGGAGGCTTGTTGTACTCGGGGCGCCATGTGGACAGTCCGGAGGGTGGGGGGTTGGGGGGCAGCGGTCCTCAGCCCAGCACCGTATTTTTAGCCAGATGAAAGTCTTAAAGCTTACATGGTGATTTTTCCCCGCAGTATCGGGGCGGGCTTGCGGGGGGGGGGGGGGTTTTTTAAGTTGTGTGTCTTCTGTGCTTGAAGTCTGCTTTCCAATCTCATGTGAACTCGTACCGGAATGAATTTAAACTGGATGGTTTGCTCAAGAAAGACTAGGATTATGAGGTTACTTCCGAATGTGGAGCCTTCTACTTTAATTTTCTAAACTGCAAAATGGAGTAGTACTAGATTTACGTGGCTCATACCACATCTGAAAGAATTAAACATTTCACAA